CATTTATTTCTTATGAAACAACACCCAGGTAGCTTTTTGCCACATAACCCAACCCTCTCTTGGTGTTTCTAGCAACACTGATGAATAGAAAACCAAATGAAGAAGAGGGGGAAAAATAGTTTGGGAGCTAGCAAAGCTCAGAATAGAACTTCCGCCCAGTTGGCAGGAAAAACTCCACAAAACATGTCCATGAAGACACCAGGGACCAAGCTTGATTTGATGGAGGCCTTACTTGTTATCATGCAAACCCCCAAATGTTTACTTTAGTGAACCGTAAGATGTTCTGCAAACCAAACCAAAGCAAGCCAGCTGTTAAGTTAGGTCGCTATTAAAAGAGCACAAATGTTTTATATATCAACTTCTCCCTCTTCACATCGCTCTAATCTGCATCGTATTTCAGATTAAGGCACATCCCCCTGAAATAAATGCACGCTTCTCCTCTGGGTTGACTTGGTAAGAATCCTATTTTTAAAAGAGGAAGAGTTCAGAATTCATCCGCAATTTAGCTTCCTGCTGCCTGATTCTCTGCGGATGAATCAAGACAAAATGAATATTCATAAAACATTGCAAAGCTCTATTTATAGTTCCTTGCAGCAACTAAGAAATGTTCTCTTCTCATTTCTTCTCCTTAGGGAGCCTTGGTCTGTTCTAGACAACCCCATCATGGCCTCTCCTTGCCCTTAATAATTCTTCTGAAACCACTGCTTAGTTTTGTCATTAGAACATTAGAACATAGGTTGGGAGGCACCTTGGAGGTCTTCTAAGCCAGTGGCCACCAACCCCCTGGACCACTGGTGGTCCCCAAGAAAATTTTGGTGGTCTGCAGAAAAATTATTTGCATTTTTTATATTGCACTAAATACTATTTACTATTTATCTTCTTAAAAAATTCATATTAGTGGGCCACGGGATTTAAAATTATGAATTTAGTGGTCCCTGAAGTCCGAAAGGTTGGTGACCCTTGTTCTAAGCCCCGTTCAAGCAGGCGACTGTATCCCAGGGGTATCCAACATTGGCAACTTTAAGACTTGTGGACTTCAACTCCCAGAATTCCCCGGCCAGTCATGTTGGCTAGGGAATTCTGGGAGTTGAAGTCCACAAGTCTTAAAATTACCAAGTTGGATACCCCTGCCCTATACCATTCTGAACAAAGGGCTGTCCAGTTTGGTTTTGAAGACCTCCAGTGATGGAGCACACACAGCTTCTAAAGGTAGGCCACTTCACTGATTAATCCTACAAAGAAACGTAATAAAGACAGGTAGAAGGAACGTTCAGACCAGGGGTGAAATCCAGCAGGTTCTGACAGGTTCTGGAGAACCGGTAGCGGAAATTTTGAGCAGTTCGGAGAACCGGCAAATACCACCTCTGGCTGGCCCCAGAGTGGGGTGGGAATGGGGATTTTGTGATATCCTTCCCCCAGGAGTGGGGAGGGAATGGGGATTTTGCAGTATCCTTCCCCTGCCACGCCCACCAAGCCACCCCCACAGAACCGGACCGGTAGTAAAAAAATTTGGATTTCACCACTGGTTCAGACGAATCTAAATGGCTGAACAGAACGGGGTCAAAGTTTCCTAAGACATTGTTGGATATATTGAGAAAAGGTGACATAGACCAGTATTCAAGAAAAGCAAAGAATGGATTTTTCTACAATGAATAGCTGCATTCTGTTTTTAATGCCAGGGTTTCCCTGCTCTATTATCTTCTCTTTCCTTTCCTTTCCATACTTCTTCAGCCAGACAGTTGTGTTAGACTGCTGTTTTTTTTTAAACCCAAATGTCTTTTCCAAAGATTGCTAAAATTATGTAAGTTTCCAAATGTCTTCGTCACAGAATCATAGATCTGGAAGGAACCTCAGAGGTCTTCTAGTCCAACCTCCTGTCCAAAGCAGGAGTCCTTTCCTCCCTGGACAAATTGTGCAATTTTCTTGAAACCCTCTAACCCTCGATGTTAGAGAAAGCAAATGGGTCATTGGGGGCAGAGGTGCAGAAGGAAAACTAGACAATTCAGAGGTGAGGAACCCTCTCAATGGCTTCTAGCTGCTTATATTATTATTTCAGTTTATTCTTAAACTTAAGGTAAAGATTCCCCTCGCATATATGTGCTAGTCGTTCCCGACTCTAGGGGGTCAAAAAGCCAGCACTGTCCGCAGGTGTCTCCGTGGTCATGTGGCCGGGCATGACTCAATGCCAAAGGCGCACGGAACGCTGTTCCCTTCCCACCAAAGGTGGTCCCTATTTTTCTACTTGCATTTTTTACGTGCTTTCGAACTGCTAGGTTGGCAGAAGCTGGGACAAGGAACGGGAGCTCACCCCGTTACGGAGCACTAGCGATTCGAACCGCTGAACTGCCGACCTTTCGATCGACAAGCTCAGCATCTTAGCCACTGAGCCACCGTATCCCTATATCCCTCTTTTTCCCTTCCTCTCTTCTTACTTTTCCATTTTTAGTTTTTTTTTAGTTTTTTCACAAATGCCCCCCCTTGCCTCGTCAGCCCTAAATGTTCCAGATCCTTAAGCCAAAAACATTGTTTCATTCAAGTGAACCATGGATGGAACAAACCTCTAAGAGAATTTCATATTAATCAGGGAGGTGATATATTGCATTTTTTAAAAGTCAGTGGCATCTAAACTGTGATTTAAAATAAAGAAATGCAATCAATTTCCTTCAAAGCCAAATCTCTGGTTTAATCATGGCTGGCACGGACGAGATGCAAGCCCAGTGAACAGTCCTCTTAGCTTAATGAAGTAAAATACGATCATCTCAACAAGATCGTGATTTTTTAATTTACCCAGCTCTCCTTTTCTTAACCTCCTCTAAACTACAACATGGGGCTCACCATTTGCATTTAAAACAGCATCCCCCCCCAAACCTGCCTCGAGCGGGGCTTGATGTACTACAATTCCCATGGTGTTCAGCTTTCCCTTGGATGGGCTTACCAGTTGAGAATCGTGATTATTCATTTCTATGGAAGACCAGTTTGTTGACAGTTGACCCAAAGTGAGTGATTGAATTGATACGGTGAACTACACAAGATTAAAACAAGCATTTCACAATCCAAACTACAACATCCGTAGCGGAAACAACAATCTCTCCGTATAAAACAAACAATATTAACCAGCTGCCTGGCTTCCTGGCCCAAACATCTTACGAGACTAAGAGAGTCAGGACCGTCTGGATCTCCAGGGGCTGCTGTATCATAGCACAGATGTTGCTCCTGTGTAATCACCACTTCTGGACCCAACACAATTTTATTTATTTTATTTATTATTAAATAAAATAAATATTATTTTATTTATTATTAAACTTCCATCTTCCATTGAGGAGGCTCTTGATGACGTTGTTTGATGGAAGAGACCCAGGGCAGGCCATCCCTGTGAAATCTAGTGGGGTGAGTATAGACAATGGGGGTCGGTGGCCCTCCTATTCTTTGACCTTATGCCCTGAAGAGCTTTACTGCCTCAGACAGGAAGGCTGTGCGGAGAGTGGTGAGGACGGCAGAAAAGATTATTGGAAGTTCACTCCCTTCTATCCAGGACATGGCATATAAGCAATGCTTGCTTGAGCAGAGTCCGCAGGATTGTGTCGGACGCTACTCGTCCTCTTCACAACCTGTTTTTCTTGTTATCTTCTGGGAAGGAGATTCATGGTATCCGAAGCAGAATTCTCTCTCCTCTCCTCTTCCCTATTCTATTCTCTCTCCTCTTTCCTATTCTATTCTCTCTCCTCTCCTCTTCCCTATTCTATTCTCTCTCCTCTCCTCTTCCTTATTCTATTTTCTCTCCTCTCCTCTGCACTCTCCTTTCCTTTCCTCTCTTCTCGTCTCTTCTCTTCTCTTCTCTTCTCTTCTCTCTTCTCTTCCCTATTCTATTCTCTGTCCTCTCCTCTCCTCATTTTATCTACCTTACTTTACCTTACCTTACCTTATCTTTATGGCTGATGATCAGTACCTTGAATTATATGTACAAATTCACCAAAGCCATGGAACAAAATGTTTGTCGGGGACTGTCATTCTGCCGCCTCAGCCAAGCCTCACCTGATGCCAGACTGCCATAGACAAGGGGGCCAAGGGAGGAAAGGGGGCTGGGAATAGGGGTGGGTTCTACTTAAACTTTACTACCGGTTCACAACAGGAGTGCGTGCACTTGCGGTTCGGCACATGCACAGAAACTTCTGCACATGCGCAGATCATCAATTATGACATCCGGGCAGGTGGGCGGAGCCTCCCGCTGCTTTTACTACCGGTTCACAAGAACCGGAGAGAACCATTACCAACCCACCACTGGCTGGGAAGGGAAAATCAAAGCTACTCATAGTGCTGTCCTGAGAGCCATTGGCTGCTTCAAGGCCAAGACAGGGACGGTTACCGAAACAATTTATTTTAAATTAATTGGATTGAGGGGGGCGGGAATAATCAGGGGGAAGGAGAAGAAAGGGAAAAGTTATCCAAAATGCTCTTAAACAGGAAAACGTCAGTTCTAGCTTAATGTTGGGTCTATCCCAGCTTGGTCTTCTTGTTGTGGCCCATCAGTGGCCTGTGAAGATAGTAGCTGATTCCGACAGCGAGGAGGCTGGTGTGCTGCGCCAGCAGCCTGTACAGCAGGCACTCGAGTCAGACAATGAGGAGGCTGGAGAAGATGTGGTGCCAGAGGCGGGGATTCAGCCAGGGCCTTCACAACCTCCAGAAGCTCCCATAAGTGAAGAGGAAGAAGAGGAGGAGCCTCTTCTCGATGCACGGCGTGCAGTGGCTCCTCAGGAGGAGGTCTCCTTGAGAGTAAGGCTTGGGGCTAATTGGCCATTCCCTTAGCCTATTTAAGGAGGAAGGCCGACTGAAGCAATTTATAGTACTCCTTGACCGATGACCATTCACAGTTCAGTGTTACGAGGGTGGCTTACAACTGGTTTTGTGCTTCTCGCCATTCGTTTCTCTCGTTTTTTTAATTCACCAAATCGCTTTTGTCGTTTGTAACTTTGCACCGATGAAAGACGACACACTGCTCGAGCTTAAGTCTGATTGTCTCTTTTATTGTTTTTAAAGATCATATTAAAAAAAACGGTTCTGATATAGTTTTATTAGTTGGGAAGAGAATGTAAGACAGCCCTGATTTATTTGATTGTTGTTGTTTTATTTATTTTATTGTTTTTAAAAGATAATATAAAACAGATCTGATCTCAAGCAGATTTTCCCAAACCCACAGGGTTTAAAATACCAAAAGTGCATTTTGAGACAAGTGAAATAGCTTTTTCTGATGTTGTTTTTTCCCCACCCCCCCATGGCAATTTTGATGTAACAACTTTCACTTCCTTCCCAGCCCTGACACCAGAGGTGGGTTTCAGCAGGTTCTGACCAGTTCTGCAGAACCGATAGCGGAAATTTTGAGTAGTTCGGAGAACCGGCAAATACCACCTCCACCCCCATCTATTCTCTGCCTCCCGAGTCCCAGCTGATCGGGAGGAAATGGGGATTTTGCAGTAACCTTCCCCTGGAGTGAAGTGGTAATGGAGATTTTGCAGTATCCTTCCTTTGCCACGCCCACCATGCCACCCCCACCAAGCCACGCCCACAGAACCGGTAATAAAAAAAATTGAATCCCACCACTGCCTGACATGATCGTTTCTACGCAGAAGAAGCGTAGGGGTGCCTTCTCCCCACCCCGTCACCCCGAGCACCCAAAGGATTTGTTATCAACTGATGATGTCATGATCTGAAAGGCTCTTGCTGGACAACCAAAGACCAACCAAAGACTCAGCACCTACCAAGAGGACTAAGAAAGGTGTTGGGGTCTGAGGGGACACTGCAGGGTACAATCCCTGGATTTGTGCTCTTTTATCACCAGCAGTGGAAGAAAATTCAACCACCCGTTGGGTCAGCCTTCAAGGTCAACCTAGAAGAGTAGAGTAGGGTAGGAGTCAGAGGTGGCATTCACTTACCTTCGCTAGCAGTTCGCAAATGTGAGCGCGCACCACCTCCACGCATGCGCAGGACCTTCTGCACATGCGCAGGGCATCAAAAACGGGACGTGATTCTATCCGGGCAGGTGGGCGGAGCCTCCTGCAGCCACTGCTACGGGTTTTCTCGAACCGGATAGAACCAGCTGGATACCACCACTGGCAGTAGACACCTCTTTCATCTCAAACAGGTAGATGTTCTGGGCCAGCCCCATCCATCCTTATGGCTTATCTCAACACTGCAAACATCAATTACAATCAAACCGTACCGACAACCTATTGGCACCTGAGTATCTTAAGCCCAAGAAGGAATAGTTCTCTTTTCTTCCAATGGACATTCTTTCTTTGGTAGGGAGGCCCGCCTCCCACATAGAAGACTGTGTCTTTGGTCCATAGCCCAATGGGCTACAACATCTCGTAAGACCAATAAGGGGGTTGTGATGCTTTAGTGCATCTTCTGACCAACAGCTTGCGAACCCTCTTAACCTTGGCAGAGAAGAAGACGGAGACCAGACAGGACTCCCCATCAGTCGTGCTACTAACCCAGTCCATCCCTCTTGTAAAATAAGACGGATTTTTGCCAATCCAAAAAGATGGAAAGGTTAAACAATTTCCATGGGATATGACTCAGCTTGGGAGTCACATGGGTAGTACAACAGGCCTTGAATCTGCCTCTTGGGTGACCGTCTGGGACATATGTTACGTTTAGCGTAGACTAAGCCACCAAGTGCCAGGAGGACACAGAGGATACCCCCAATAGAAAGCACGGGGATAATGTAATTTTGTACCATGGATTGGGAATGGGGTTTGCAAACTAGAGTTGTTGCTGGGGTGTTTGAGATGGATATTGAAGTACTCTCCATAAAAGTTTCTTGGTGATAACCTGAAATTTGGAACGTGTCTGAAGGTTTGGAGAAAGTTCTACCAGTTCCAATAGACGAAAGTGTTTCTGTGGTGTCTCCTTCACGTTCTGCATCAACCATACCTCGAAACTGGACAGAACTGAGGCTGGTTCTATCAGAGCTGGACTGTCTGCTTGATGGGCTACTAGAGTCGGTAGGAAGTTGAGTTGTGAAGTCCTCAACTGACTCTGGCTTATGTTCTGCGGTGGAGGTGCTTAAAAACAAACGGTGTTGATCGGAAGAGTTGGGAAGCTTGGTGGGTATCATCATTGATGTCTTATCTTTTGTGACAAATTCCAGAAGAAGCTTGCTGACGGAAGAGTTCATGGCCGGATGGGCTGAAGGATTCACGAGAGTTTCTGAAACAAACGCAGGACTTTTGGTACTTGTTTTGTCAGTTCCCGGAAAAGGCATAGGAGGTGACACCAGTCGTTGGGTTGTCCTAGAGAAATCCTCCAGGCTTTTCTTCGTTGGTGTGACACATTCCCCCAATCTTTTGTGCCCCTCAAAGGTTTCTGACTCTATCTCGTGATTTGCAGTCGACTCAGGCTGAAGGGTGGATTTCTCAGCCATGGTTTCTGGTTGAGGAGTCAACGATGCAGAAGATGTGGTGGCCTCCACACCAGACAATCCTCTTTCCAGAAAAGGTTGGGGATCTGCCGTGGTTCTCACAGGGAGTGTGGCTGTCTTGTGGGAGGTTGTGCTAACTTTTTTTGTGGGCTGAGCGTGGCCCTCAACCTCCAATTTAGCTTCTCCTGAATGTCTGTTAGCTAAAGGAGGCTTTTTTGTGGGGGTGCCAAGTTTAGTCCTTGCATCTATGCCCTGCATAACTTTCTTTACCCAGCCAAGCTTTGGGTCGACACAAACATTTATCTTTTTCGTTGTTGTCAGTCTAGAAAAAGGAAGGTTAAAAAAAAAAATCAAGTAAGAATAGACGGAATCAATATTTTAAACATTCCATTTTAGCATTTTTAAATCCCACTGAGTTTCAGTAGAAGGCCTTTCATTTTGAGGTATTGGGGAAGGATACTCCTACCCCATTGCCTGACTCAAGAATCATTAAAATATAATTTCTGGATTCCAAAAGCATTAAATGCTCAAACGAACAGATAAACCACATTCACACAACCAATGAAAAGAACGGTTGAGTTTGATAGGCACCACCAGGGGGTGAAATCCAACAGGTTCTGGAGAACCAGTAGTGGAAATTTTGAGCAGTTCAGAGAACTGAGCTGGACCCAAAGTGGGGTGGGAATGAAGATTTTGCAATATCCTTTCCCCAGGAGTGGAGAGGGAATGGGGATTGTGCCGTATCTTCTCCTGGAGTGGGGTGGGAATGGGCATGTTGCAATATCCTTCCCCCAGGAGTGGAGAGGGAATGGGGATTTTGCAGTATCCTTCTCTTGGAGTGGGGAGGGAATGGGGATTTTGCAATATCCTTCCCCCAGGAGTGGGGAGGGAATGGGGATTTTGCAGTATCCTTCTCTTGGACTGGGGAGGGAATGGGGATTTTGCAATATCCTTCCCCCAGGAGTGGGGAGGGAATGGGGATTTTGCAGTGGTGAAAATTGGATTTCACCACTGGGCACAACCATATGTGATGCAATCCCAATTTAACTTAATCTAGTGTAGCATATAAACTCACAAAATAATATAGCTCAGCTGAATAGCACAGACAACAGGTCCCATCCCTGAATTACAGTGATAGATGGATTTGATTTTACAGTAATTTAGTTTTACACCATTTTTGTCTTGCTCTGCTCACTTCCAAACAAACAAACAAAAACAAAAAAAGGTTGGAAACCAAAAACAATCTCTTAGAAGTCATAAATAACGAATAGGTCAATTTCATCCTAAACTCACATGAAATATTAAAACAAGGCTAAACATTTTATAGGTGGCCCTCGATGTATGACCACCACAACCGGAATGCAAACTTTCCTCTCTAAGGGGTGTGGTCCTTAAGTGAGTCACACCTGATTTTACAACTTTTCTTGCCCTGGTCATTAAATGAATCTGACTTCCCCAAGATGCTGCAACTATTGTAAAGAGATGCCAGTTGCGAAGCACATACATTGTAATTCTGTGACTATGGTGATGCTGTGATAATCATAACTGAGAGGGTCAGTCACAAGTTACTTTTTCAGCCCTGTCATAACTTTCGAATGGTTGTTAAATGAATGGACGTAAGTCGAGGACTACCTGTAAAACACCATTTTACATGAGCTGCAGTGGCGCAGTGGTTAGAATGCAGTACTGCAGGGTAATTCTGCTGCCTGCTGGCTGCCTGCAATTCGGCAGTTCAAATCTCACCAGGCTCAAGGTTGACTCAGCCTTCCATCCTTCCGAGGTGGGTAAAATGAGGACCCAGATTGTTGGGGGGCCATAGGCTGACTCTGTAAACCGCTTAGAGAGGGGGGCTGGGAAGCACTGGGAAGCAGCATATAAGTCTAAGTGCTATTGCTAAATACCCTTCTTGAGTTCTGTGCAAAGACTCTGAAAAACCAGCATAGAATTCATGTCCGAGTCTTTGAATTGGAAAGAGAGAAATATTGTGACAAAAAGGCACTTACATGATCGACGTCTTGGCTCTGCAGGTGCTAATTGTGTAGCTCTCTAGTATTCTCAAAGGATATATATGCTTTGAAAACTTGGGGCATTCCATTTTACAAGTTTTGGTTGTATCAGGTTCTCCTGGAGCAAGGAAACAATCCAAGAAGGAATTAAAATCACCACCCATTCCATTTTTGCAAGAATAAAATCTCACGATTGGTTAGGTTCATATAACACCACAAACCTTAAATCTGGATTAACACCAACAACTGCATTGGTTGCATAATATAAACTAACCCAGTCTTTCTCAACCTTGGCAAATTTAAGATGTTAGGGAATTCTGGGAGTTGAAGTCCATCCGATTTGAAGTTGCATTCTGGGAATGGAACACTGCCAATATTAGTGTTGCATTCCCGGGAGTTGAAATCTATCCATTTCAACATTGCATTCTGGGAGTTGAAGTCCACCCATCTTAAATTTGCTGAAGTTGACCAGCTCTGCTCTAGGCAGAAATATAAACCAAATTGACACTTAGAATTTTAACTGCTGTTTCATCCAACAGACTGTTTTGGCCCGTACGCGGCCTGTGCAGCTAGTAGCTGATTCAGACAGCGAGGAGGCTGTTGTGGTGCTGCGCCAGCATCCTGTGCAGCTGGCCCTTGAGTCGGACAATGAGGAGGCTGGAGAAGATGTGGTGCCAGAGGCGGGGATTCAGCCAGGGCCTTCAGAACCTCCAGAAGCTCCCATAAGTGAAGAGGAAGAAGAGGAGGAGCCTCTTCTCGATGCACGGGCGCGCAGAGCTGCCAAAAGGCAGGAGTGGCTCCTCAGGAGGAGGTCTCCTCGAGAGTAAGGCTTCGGGCTAATTGGCTACTCCCTTAGCCTATTTAAGGAGGAACGCCGACTGAAGCAATTTGCAGGGAACAACTTAGTTCACATACCTTTGTGTCTTGTCCTGCTTATCTTATCAGCTTCCTGCAAATTGCTTCTGGGCATTCTGCCAACCATAGTAAGCTTTCAGTTGTTATTCTTTGTATTCTTGGCGGCTATTAATGCAATTAATTAACAGCCGTTGTTGTAAAAGACTGGTTTACTTAGTAAACTAAGGTTTGAACGGACTTTGTGTGTGCTGCGTTCTTTGGGGCAGAACACAGACTGAGAACTCTGGATTTCCCACAACCCCAAAACTTCCCCTTTTCAAAAGTCCCACCCAGGCTTGGGGCACATGTAGCCTGCTCAGTGTGAGATGCTGCTGCAATTCACCGACGGCTTCCCTTGGATTCAGAAGCGCAATTTTCTGCTTTCAGGGTTTCAGTTTGCTTGGGACACAAAACCCCAAAAAAGATTTCCCTTTAGCTCTTAGTCAAATCAGACAACAGCCCTGTAAAGAAGGCCACGGTTCATTTGGTCATTCTAAAGTAAGAATCCTCAGAGGGGGGAAAAATTGCCTCTCCTTCTCTTTACATCTTAGTTCATTTTTAGCAAATTTATAAAACACATTTAAAATTAAATTTATATATGGTACAACTTTAAATAATTATGGAATCATATATATGTACACACTCACACGTACACACACACACATATATAAGAAAACTAAGATCAAATGTTAATTTAATTGGGTTAAAACTAGGAAGTGTAAATTACTGAATAGTGTCAACCGGATAATGATGGTTGTGTAAATAGATACAAATGTAAATATAAGTACATAGATGAATGATTGAATAAGAATAGAGAATATATATCCATGTCGATACAGTAAGCTGTAAAATAATATATGATGTTGAAGGGAAATAATAATAAGGATATAATAAATAATACTAGAATATGATATACTGGTATACTAGATTTTGTAACCATTAGGTTCCTGTAATACATATATGTCTTTGTATTTGTATCACATATATTATGCCTTTATATTTGTATCTCCTGTGACAAACATATTCTGTTATTAGGCCTCTGTAATGTATGTCCCTGCCATTTAACCTGAACCCATATCAATCTTCTTCCTGTTTTTCTTGTGCCATCTAAAAGCATGGTATCTCTGTTGGAACTACAGCCATCAACAAAGGGATAATTTACACCTCAGCCCTAATTTATGTTTGATCTGGATAAACTCCTGTCTTCCAGAGCCAGGGGGCTAAGTGGCCAATTAAGTAAACAAAGAAATGCTTAAGATAATACTAATTGGGAAGTTTCTATTCCCCCTTGCAGGGCAACAAGGAATACACAAACCTAAATTAGGAGGCCAGAATTGGGTACTAAGATGACGTCTCTGAGGGTATAAAAGGACGCCATACCTTCCCCAAGGTGTGGCTATCTCCTCGCATGCATTGTATCTGTATGTTCTGGATATAGTTCCACCCAGTATTTTATTTATGGCCAAAAACAATTACAGGAACTTAATGGTTACAGAATCTAGTATACCAGTATATCATATTCTAGTATTATTTATTATATCCTTATTATTGTTTCCCTTCATTGTAATGTTATGTTTGTTATGTGTTTTTAATGTGTTTTTGTTTTTTGGTGTATTTTTCTTTACTTTGTTTTTAAAAACCAAAAGTTCAATAATTTTTTTAAAAAAGAAAACTAAGATCATGGCTCCCGGCCCTCTCAATTACTGGCAGATAGTAATAGATGGGGAAGAAATGGAGGTAGTGACAGATTTTATTTTCCTGGGCTCCAAGATCACCGCAGATGGGGACTGCAGCCAAGAAATTAAAAGACGCTTGCTCCTGGGGAGGAAAGCCATGGCAAATCTAGACAGCATTCTAAACAGCAGAGACATCACCCTGCCAACAAAAGTGCGTATAGTTTTCCCAGTATTGTGCAATGTATGGCTGTGAATGTTGGAGCATAAGAAAGGCTGAGCGCCAAAGAATGGAGGCCTTTGAACTCTGGTGCTGGAGAAGACTCCTGCGAGTCCTTTGGACTGCAAGGCGACTCAACCAGTCAGTCCTAGAGGAGATCAATACACACACACACAGAGTTTATTTTCTCAATATGTTTATAGGTTAAATTCAAGTAATTTAACAACTGGTTCTCTGCCCTAATGATTTCTTCCAACAACCAGTCTGCCAAATTGCTCAGAAAGTTAACAACTGGTTCTCCCGAAGTGGTGCGAACTGGCTGAATCCCACCACTTGTTAGATCCAGTGGTGGGTTGCCCCTGGTTCGGACCGGTTCGCAAGAACCGGTAGTAAAACTGGCAGGAAGCCCTGCCTACCACCCCGGATGTCATCATCGGTGATCTGCACATGTGCAGAAGCAATCCTGTTCCGAACCGGTAGTAAAGGTAAGTAGAACCCACCACTTAGTACTGGTTAGTACTGTATACATATTTATGTTCTCTTATTTTAATATCTTTATAGATTATTTTTTAATTATTTTAAAAATGTCTTTATAACCTGCTTACAGGCCATTTGTTGTTTTCTATGCATTGATAGAACATTTTTATTATCTTCGACATTTTTAGCAATTATCTTCATATACCATGTGTTATTTTTAATGTACTGATGTACATACACACTTTTTTTAAAAAAAAATCTTTAACACCACCAGAGTCTTCTTAATGTATTTATGCCCTGTTTGTTATTTTTAATATATGGATAGACTAACATTTTTTTAAAGAAATAACTTTTAGCCTCTGATGTTACTATCTCCCTTTTCTAATCTGTCACAAGAACTCATAAAACTCAACTCTCTTGCCAGCCCTTCGTTCTTCGATCAAAGAAAGTTGATGACCCCTTGAGCCAATGAAATAACTCCTTTATCTCTCTCATGTATCTTTCATCAGCGCTGATTGTCTCAGCCTGCCAGACATACAATATCTTTATTCAATTAAAAAAAAAAAACAAGTTGAAAAATGTAAACCAAAACCAGAAAACCAAAAAAGCAAATATATTAAAAAGTGACCTCTGACTTTTTCCAATACAGAGAACACTAATAAAATGCAACTTTTTTCTAAATAAATCAGTACTTAAAAACCTTTAAAATGCTAATCAAAATAGACATTAAAAATAAGTGATATTCATGTTTTTAAATTTCATCTACCATATATTAATCTCTCTGTATATAAATCACAACCTTATATTTAACATGACACAATATTTCTCTAGTCAAATCAGAACTTATCCTCAAATTCCAAAGATCATTTCCCCCTCCCTCCCTCCCTCCCTCCCTCTCCCCCCCCCCCTCCCTCCTTTTTTTTTTTTGGGGGGGGGGGGGCAGGAAATCTAACTGTGGTCTCCAAGCCAAGCAAGGTTTCTTTTACACAAGAACAATGGAGATGTTTGCTCTAGGACCAATACATAGGTGTGAACCCACTGCCAGGGTGCCAAGTAATATACCCATAGCAAACAGAACTCCGATACCAGCAGGTTCCTCAAAGAATAGTTTTATTGGATATATCATATTGGCACAGGCTGGTGAAAACCGACTCTAAAGCAGAGTTTCTCAACCTTGGAAACTTTCAGACGCATGGACTTCAACTCCCAGAATTCCCCAGCCAACTGTGCTAGCTGGGGAATTCTGGGAGTTGAAGTCCACACATCTGAAAGTTGCCAGGGTTGAGAAACTCTGCTCTAAAGGTTCCCGTGGTTTTCACCTAATTAAAAGTAAAAGTGTTCCCCCTTTTCCCAAACAAACAGTCCCACGGCCCAATCAAGGTGCTGTCTGGTTGCTTGGTAACTTCACTCCTCCTCTCTCTGACCACCTGTGGGAATGTCCTTGGTTCTCAGGGGAAGCTATTTCGTTTTGGCTACAAAACCCCAACTATCTCTATTCCCGTCCCCCTCCCTATCCCTCAGCACCATTCTGACAACACTGAAGCCTCCAAGATGGCCTCAGTCAGGCCTGCTTCAGAGTTGACACCCACAATACATTTATTCCAGGCAGCCGCTGAACCAGGCAGTGCTTCTTACATTTACATCAGGGGTCCCCCAACTCAGGGGTAAGATTCAGCCAATTCGGACCATTTTGGGTGCACTGGATGTGTCAGGTTTCGAGGTCGTCTCAAATAAATTGCATTTCAAACAAAGTCTTTGATGAAAAACTCCCATTTATTAAGCACGACATTCTAACTCCGACTCCATTGTAGCCAACACTGACTTCCAGACCCAAAACCCTCCCTTTCCTTTCCC